GCTGCCCTTCAGCTGACACTGGCACCAGCAGGGCAAGGGCAGAAGATTGGCAAATGCAGGGCTTCACTCGAGGCCAGCAGGAGACTGGAGAAGTTCTTGGAAGGGTCATCCAGTGGAAGGGACACAGACCACAAGAAGCTCTCACCTGACATCAGCAAGGATTTAGGAGTGCAGACCATCCCCTGACATCTGCAAAATTTAGGAGTGCAGGAGTGGGAAGCAAACAATCCCCATCCCACCATTCATACTCCCCCTGCTTCCTAGCTTCCAAACTGGCAGACAGACTGAGGTGCCAGGAGAGAAAGCTCCTTAGAACTGCAGCTCTAAGCTTGGGCATCAGCCAAAACACAGTCAGCACTTTCTACCCAGGGAGCTCAATGCTGAGAGATGTCCTCGAGGTTAAAGGCTCCTGCACTCTAATTACCACTCACAAATCTCTCCTAGGGGACTCTCGGGGTGAATGCTGCCTGCAGTGAGATGTCCTGTATTTTAATAGAGGGAGGAAAAATTATAAATCGTGGATACTTGGCAATTAGAGCTTGGAGAAAGGACTGCAGTGAGCAGAGGGCAAGTGCATGCTTGTCTGTGCTCTCAGCATCCTGCAGCACAGCCAGGATGGGAGAAACTGCTCATGGGACCCTGAAACCCACTGTGCTGGGATGTGCTCCACACCCTTCATTTTACTTTCTTTACTCTGTGGCTGCTGCTTCTCAGTGCTGCTCGTGCCACCAAACTGATACTTGATTTTAAATGAGCTGGAACTCATCTGGCAAGCAGGCAGAGGTCAGAAATCCCAAATCTGCCTGTAAAACTCTGCTCAAGGATAGACAGTCCCTTCTCCAACATTAGAGTAGGACAGGGCAGGGTAGAGGAATGACAGAAATTCCAGCAAAACTTATTACTGGGGCTAGAGGCTCACTGCAGCATTGCTGAATAACCCAGTCAGAATAACTCAGCCCTCACTGTGGGTCTCTCCCCAGGGCTGCAGCTTACTCCTCTCCATCCCAGCTTTTGTTGGTGCTGCTGTCCCAAGATGCTGCTGAGCTCAGGACCAGACAGCACAACAGAAGGCTGCACAGGAGCAAGGTTTGGGCCAGGTGGTTACAGGGGGAGTGAAACAAATTGAAAGGAAGGAGAAATCAGTCCCCCAAAATTAAAGCAGCTGCCCTAATGCAGAGATCAGCGCATTTCACCCCTTGCTGCCTGCCCATCCTTCTGCTCTCCTGTGCTGACTGGCCACAGTTCCCCTGGGGTGGGGCAAGATCATCACCAGCACAAAGGGGAAACAGCACTCAGTGGATGCTTGACCTTCCCAGCACTGAGTTATAAACAGGCATCAAAGCCAAAAACACTGTTCTGCTTAGAGAGCCAGCAGAGCCACCTCCTAAAGCCCTTCTGGACATCCAGCTCTTCCCAGAATTTCCCTGTTGTACATCTGCATCTCCCCTCACTGCTTAACTTTGTATCCTGCAACACAAGGGACTTTCCCCAGCATGAGTGCTCAGAACCAGCACTTTGCTTCTGGAAAGAGAGCTCAGGGTTAGCACAAAGCAGTGATGCTGTCTGTGGGCACCAGGCCCCAAGGTGGATGACTGCCCCCCACAGCACACACTTCCTGCAGCCCTCCAAGCAGCAATGGCACCGTCCCCAGAAAGTCATTAAGTGCACGGAAAAATTACTCTGTGGTAACTGTGTTACACGCCATGGCCTCAAACAGAGAGGGGGGAGAAGGCAGAGGTGTGCCAAAAACTGGCTCCAAACCCCCAGTGCTGAAGCCACCGCCCTGTGGGAGCTGACTGTACCCAGGCACACAATGTTTGCCAGTCTCCTTGGCACAGTGCAGCACTGCTGAAGGGTTGAACACGGAGCTAAGCTTAGATAAATGAGGAGAAACGGCCCAGCAGGTGACAGCCCCTCTAGCTGTTTTCTATCTCATGGCTGCCCTTAAAGCAGGCAGCCCTAGCATCAACCAGAGAAAATCCCCACGTGGTATTTCCTTCCATTTAAGAAAAAGATAGTCTTGAGTGCAACAGCACCATCTATACTGCCAGAACCAATCTCTGGTGGCAGAGAGCTGTGTGTGCTGCTGGGAGAGGCATGGCCTCATTTCAGGGCTGGTCAGGAGCTGACGCTGAATATACAGTCAGTCTGTGGAGTTAAATCCCTCTTTGGAGCTCCACACCAGTTCAGCAAGAGGAACTCACCCAGCTCACAGGCCTCCAGCAGCCACACAGTCCCCTTACCCTCAGGGCAGCAAGGCAGGAGGAGTCACTGGAGGGATTCACAGTTGAGCTCAGAGCTAGCTGGAAGCCACACCCCAACTCACTCCTTATCTTGTAGTTGAACAGGGGAGCAAGAGCTTCCCATTAGGGGTGTCTGCAAGGAGCAGCTACAGAGCGAGATCTGTGGGGATGTAGGGGTGTGAACAACCAGGGCTGTGAGCAACCAGGTTTGCTCCTCAGCCCTGAGCCCAGGCCAAGCTGCACACTGGAACCAGCCCACTCCTTCCAAACCTGTGCATGGCTGGAATTTCTTTTCATCCTCAGAAAGCTGAGTGTCTTTCACCAGCCATCACTACCTACCCCAGGGACACCTGCTAGAGGGGTCACAGCTGGGGAAAATCCAACTAATCTCTGCAAAGCTTCTGTGTTGGCACAAAGCAGCCATTGAGTGTCCACAGCAGTGTCTGCAGACAGCTCCCACCTCCACTCACAGCCATGCTGCCAAAACACAGCTGCAACCAAACCAGCTGTGCCCAAACATTGCTTAACCCAAGGTGCAGCCTGTGGGGTGGAATTCAGTTCCTGAGGTCTCTTCTGTGTTTGCCAGCCCGGCCAGTGGGAATTCAGTTCCTGGCTTGGGCCATTCCCCATTCCTGTGAGCCTACGGAACACACCAGAGCATGTGCCGAGGCCCAGTGTTCACTGCCAAAAACCCTCTTGAAGGAGCGAGAGATCTGAGTGGGCTCAGCTTCCCCAGGTGCCACGTTTGTCAAGGGGGGTAGGGAAGATACTTTGGTTTTCACCTGTTTTGGCCAAACAACAAGCCAGACACAATACTTGACAGGAACAGCCTCCAGGGCTCAATCCAGGCGTGCAGGAAGGAACCACACAACTGACTCACAGAATAACTGGCTTTGGGGAAGGTTGGGGGAAATCACCTATTTCACCACTTGTTTTGATCACTGGATATTTCCCCATTCCTTAGACAATTCCAGGACTTGGTCACATCAAAGCAAACAAGGAGCAGGATACACAGGACTGAACATTTTGAAAACCTCTGACTTTTTACCAGACAGCAAGCAAACCCAAGGTTTGAAACTCTGGAAAACTTCCTATAAACATTTTTTAAAAACCCTGCAGTTCTTCCAAAAGATGGCCCTAGCAGCAGGTCCAGGCTCTGGCAGTGTTCCTGTCAGCCAGCACTCTCTGTAGCCCAGGAGCTCCTCACCCTGCTCTCCCTGCTGCTTGGTGCTCCCAGAGCTGGCACTCTGCTTCTGTCACCCTAAGTACCGGATGGCTCACTAGGGGAAAGCACCCCACAAAGCTGACAGTCACCTTCTGGGACCTGGCATAAAGGAGAAAACTTTTATAAAGCCTCACTGAAGCTGGGAAGGGCACCACGTGTCATTGCAATTACGAGTCTATGCTGGGGGAGGAGGAGCAGGGAGGTGAGGAGAGAATTAGCGTTTGCTTTCACGTTTAAAGCAGTTTGTTTCCTCTCTGCTTATCTTGCTGCTCTGTAATGATGGAAGTGTCACGTCTGAGCAGCAAGCTCCCCAATTTGGGAGGAGGAGACTCCTCTCCAGAGGACTCTGCTGGAAGGTAACCCACTTCATTAAGGCAAGGAAGCTCACCACCCCTTCACGCTCCACAGCAGAGATATGAAGAGCTTCAGGCAGTGCAGCCTCAAGTGCCAGCGCTGGAGTGCAAGTAGAAAGGCTGATGAGCAGGACAGCAGAGGCCAGAGCATCCAGAGTGACACAGTGACTGCTCTCAGCAGCAAAGGGAACATCCACCTCAGCACATCCCGCACGAGGTGACAATGGCACTTCTCAGCCACCCTCCCCTTTCACCGTGCCCACCTGCCTGCATCTGCCATTTCTCTGGCATCCCCACTTTATCAGGAGAAGGCACTCAGCTGCCCAGCACTTTGAGAAAGCCCGTTCCAAACACCGGTATGGGCTGGCCAGGTCGTTCTCACATTCCAGGCCAGCAAGGAGATGGGGCTTTTGCCAAGACACTGCGGTCTTGTGTCTGAGCAGGGGCAGGACATTCCTGCATTGCTAAACACAGTACTGCCCCTGCAGAGATGGGAAGGAAGGGAAACTGCAATTTCAGTTAGAGAGGGGCGGGAGGGACGATAGGGAAGAAACAACAGTGTGGTGCTCAGTAGAAGTTGCATGCTTCATACAAAACCCCAGGGGATGAGGGTTTTCATCCCTAGGCTGAATCTGAAACGTGGTGGAAATATTTCTGCACACATTCCAGAATAGCCTGGTGTTTTTACAGACTGCGTCATGTTCTGTGACTGTGAGCACACACCTGGCATGCGGTTCTGAGCTGAGAAGAGTCACTAATGACACAACAGAAGAAAAAAAAAAGAAATCTACATCTTTAGACATTTAAGCTATGCTTCAACTCTCCTTTCCCACACCTCTTTGGGAAAGCAGTGTACCACAAGTGCATGAAAAGCCATTCAATTTATTTCTACTGTTTGCACGAGGGCTCTCAACTCTGATGTTAGGATGAACACCATCTCCTGGTTTATTCCAGCAGAGTTAGCACATGGAAAATAGGACTCTGACAGAAGTTATGGGAAGTTACCTGTGCAGAGGATGGGAAATGCCACAGTAAAGCTCTCTTGGGTGTGTGAGCATAAAGCACATAACAGCCATGCAGTGGGCTCACAGAGGAGGAAGGATGCACCCTGGGCATCTGCAAGTCAACAGCAGTCATTCAAATTCAACACACCAGGTTTTTTAAAAAATATTATTTCCTACTTATTTATTTTTCCTTTAATAACACAGTTTAGCATTTCAGAGTTCAGCATTCTACACTCTTACACACTGTCCTTGTTTATTAGCATTTAAACACAAAAAGACATAGCAAGACCTCCAAACACAAATAAATACAAAAACACAATATACAGTAAACTGAAATACAACATATAATAATGCTATTGGGAAATTAAGACATGTTGCTAATTTATTTTTTTTATTATTATTTTAACAACATGGTTATTGCTGAGCAATAAATTATACATTTTAAAATTGTTTTTCCCCCTATAAGAAAAGGACGAGAACCACTGGTTACCAGATCACTTGCACTGTATCCTTACAGCTATTGATAATTAAGACAGGCAGAATATACACAATCAAATGAGGCTGGCCTTCTTTGGTCTTTGTTTTTGATCATAAAACTGAACACAAGTGTACCGTTCACTGAAGAGTATGAGATTAAAGAAATGGATACACAAGTTTCAAACACATTAATTTGTACATTATTCTCAATCACTGATGTCTTTTCCATAGACAGTTCTCACAGAATTTCTTGGAAACAAATGTCAGCTTTAGTTTTCCCAATTTTTATGTTGTTCCATGCATCTTCAAAGGTTATCCTACTTGTCTAAGAGAAATGGACCTACATTTAGCCCATCATCTCCTAATGGGGTATTTTTCACAGCTCTCTAGTCACCACTAATTCATTGGAGTTTTATACCTTGTAGAAAAAATCCTGAACTTCCCCCTTTTTTTTTTTTCCTAAAAAACTGAAAAAAAAAGGAAGTATTAACCGAACAACAGCGATAAGAAAAACAAAACGTGTGGATTACACGATGCATCAGCAACGATGGAAGCTTGTACCTTCCCATTCCACAAGTACAGATTATACAACTCTCTGCCAGTGATGCAGGTCATAGTTGGAAGATGTGTCCTTTCAGGTGCGAGCTAGATTCAAATACAAAGCTCGGAACACTATGCAAGAAAATGACCTTTAAGAATGGTAATGCTGGTTTATCTCAGTAACCCTTAGACAGAGTCAAATTTTATCACTACGCATCGCACTGCCAGCAATGGAGCGTGTGAACACCGGCATTGCTAAGAAGTTAAAAAGTCCTTGCAGAACTGGCAACCAAATTAAAAGCTTAGTTCCAAAGGACCAAAAACACAAACACCACATAGAGACAACAAACCCTTCCCTGAATGGGTAGGTTAGTAAGCCACAGAGTCGGGATCCAGATTTGAATTCCACATCAAGTCTGGGATGTTTGAATCCAAGGTTTTGGTTCAGGTGCTTCTCTGTGAAATTCAGAACTTATTTGAACCCTAAGGAACTAATCCTAACTTGGAGGGGAAATAATGAAAAAACACAGCCTAATATCTACGCTGACATCATGAAATGGAAGACAGAAGCTGCAGTCTTGACCATATATTAGAAGAGAAACAGGAATAGTCAGATCCCTTATGCATTGTAGAATTCTACTCTTCTAAATCTTAAGAGGATGTCCCTGAATCAGCAGTCCAAAGTTTTCCACAACCTTCCTATCTGGTGCTTCTCTGCAAAGGCCTGGATTAAGAGGCAAGAAAGAACAATTAAGCCCTCCAGATTTTGGTTTACAGAAAAAGGGAGAAAGCCCCACAAGTAAGAAATGATCAGTCACACTGACTGGTAGAACAAAGATGAACCCACTTCACTGTACAATGGTATTCTCCCTCTTTAGTTAAGAGGAGCATCAAACGAGACTGGTTTTGTTGGACAATTCTGAACAGACAGAGCAGGACACAGTTTGCTGCTGTTACTGACACGGACATGCTGTGCTGGCCTTCCCTCCGCGCGTCTGGGCCACCACGCGTGTACAACCCCAAATCACGACAGCTTGTATGTTTAATTCTAGCCCTTACTGTCCTGACGTGGGTCTTCAGGGTATGTCAACTTATTTTCCAGTTCCTTTAAGGGACAAATGTATTAAAAGAGTAAAACCTCATGATTCAGAGATAACAACTAGGGAACTGGAACCTCTCATTCAGTTCCGGCTCCAGGAGATTCCTTTTGTGACTCTGGGCAAATCATATCTCATCCTTGATTTCCTTGTTCCAAAAAGGAGAAACAGCACTTGCTATACACTGTACACAATATTAAAAACTCAGATTAAACTGCCAAACCAATCATTTTTATTGCAGTAGCTTTGACTTCTAGGTCAACCAGAATATCAAGGTATTGACTGAACAGGACAGAAATTCCAGGGAAGAGGTCCCGATGCTTTTTATCATTTTCTGTTCCAAATTAGAGGAAATTATTTGCAGTCAAAAAGTTGCCCATCACTATAGTTATTTAAAATATAGGAATCTCCAAATTATCAGAGCATGAGGAAGAACATGTATCCTAAATTACAATTCAGAGTCTTCAGAAAAGCTAAACAAAGTGTTTGCTACATACAGGTCTTCAAACCTGAAAGACATGAATCAAAGTTTGCCCTTAGCCAAGGTCCTCCTTTAGCAGCAACAAGTTATATTTGCACCAAGTGATCAAGTATAACTTGGAGGAAAGGGTTTTGTTTCATCACTTCTACATAAAGAAAAGACTTTGCATATTTATGTGCATGCATGTCTGTGTGTATATGTATGTACCTACACACATACAAGTAATTTACAGAGCAAAATCTAAGAGATTAGGTATGCAACCCAAGAATTTCCCCCCTCACCTATCTGTATATTTGCATAGTTAAATCATATCAAAGGCATCAATACTGCAGTCATGTTTTTCACTCTTCTGCAGTGCAGGCATTTTCCTTGTCACTCCCTACACGCTTCTCTGTCTTGGACCAAAAAGCACCAGTGCTTTAAAAACTGAACAAAATATCAACAGATACCCTGCACTGTTGGTGAAATGCCTATCCCAGGTGATGGAATACAAATACAAATAGGTGGTAGCTTTTAAACTCCAGTTCAGCAAGCCGTAATTGTGGCAAGCTGAGGAAACAGAAGCGATACAACCACAGCCTAACATTCATGGGTTCAACACTTAAATCCCAGCTAACATAAATCTCTATTACCTTTGTATTTGAGAAATTCACCAGGCACAGAAACAGGCACATATCTTCATCTTTCCTTTTCCAAGTAGAAAACGCCACAAGAAAAGGAAATAAACTGCATTTCATTTTTTTTCCTTGTTTTTAAAAATCTAGCGTGTTTTTTCCATCAAAAATATGCCACCCACCATTCCCTTTTCCTATTGCACATTCTCTTTGTGAAGAACAACATTTACAGTACAAGGCTGAAATCAACATTGCATATTGTAAGTCAGCAGTTGAAGGTGTACCGTGTAGACAGTAACTGAAACAAGACCCCAATTAATTAACTCAGAGAAGCAATGCAGACATGGTCATGCATCATAATTGCAGGTTGGTCTTTAAACACCCAAATAGTTTCATCCTGCTTAGGATTCAAGACTTTCTAGCTAACAGGTGCACTCATTCTGTGCTGAAGAGTGTACACAAAGGGCAACATCCAGATTGTCACACACTGGAATCTCCCTAGAGGAAGCTGGAAACGGAAGAGGTTTTTACATAACTTGGAGCGTCACCGTGAAGAAAGAACACCAGCAAGAGACTTCAGCTGTGTGCTGCTAAGAATTACTACTAAGTAGAGGACAATATGGTTCCACTGAACAAACTCTGTTCAAAGTAATGCAAATACTCTGGGACCCCCTTGCAATAGTGGCAGCTCCCAGGAGTTTGCCAGGATTCAAGAGTACACATGAGGGCAGGGTGTTGTCCCACGAATCACTTTAAACAGACAGTCCCTAGAAAACTTCGGATATCTCAGTCAGGAACAAAGAGAAAAAGGATAAAGGGCATTTCAGCGATGAGAGAAACAGTTAAATAACTTAAAAGTGTTGAGTAAAGCACCAGGTATCTTTTCCTTTCAACTTAGAGAATATACAGTGGCCTTGTTTTCACAAAATGCTACATACTCCTTGCTGGAAAGCAGAGGAAACCGATTTCTATGTACACAGTAAGAACTCTACAGAGATGGCCTGTGAGTTCTGTGGAGAAAGGGGTGTTACAGTCAAGGCTTCAGGTATTCCACAGCAGGCGGTGTCTACATTTGTGTAGCAAGATCCTGGATTTCACAGTACGCAGGGTTGGCAAACTGGAAATTCTCTGGCAGCTTCATGTAGTTTTAAAAAATAAGTGCAGTAGGCCTCCGTTTTATTAACTGTGATAAAAAGCACATATGCAAAAATATTTTTATATCGATAGCACATTACTGCATTATAAAAGCTGCCCAAGTGAAGCTGAAGATTCTGGCAGCTGGTGCTTTTGGCACTTGGGAGATGTGGAAAGCAGCATAGAGATCTGTGAAATACAACAGTGACTGATGTTTCTGCTACAGTGATCGGCATTTAGATAGTTAGCAGTGTTCATATTTAAACTTCTCTCTGAAGTTTCTGAGTCAATATCCCACCAAGACGAGATATTCAGATCTCTTAAAGCTACTAGTTTAGGCTGTGTGCAGACTCAGGAAGACTTCCCTATTGGTTTACACATTCACATGTTTCAAAGTCCTCTTTCAATCACCAAGGCTGGAAATGCTTTTTTTCCTCCTCTTTTAAAGAGCTTGGATTTAGAAGCGCAATTCTGTCACAGAAGTTGGAAACTGTAGTCACAAATCTGCAGAATATGCCGGGCCCTGCTTATACTCAAAATCTCCTCCAAGTCCCAGATTGAAACAGGATATAAATTGTTTTGTGATCGCCAAACGGTTTCATTTAATTTTACAAGACATGCATTAGCAATGGGAGGAGAGTCCTTTGGACATTTCCACTTGGGAATCCTGTTTTCAGTAAAATTCTGTGATGCACAAACACAAAAGCTCAGCTGCCTACATTCACAATTATTAAAATGACACAAGTCGAGCGAACCTTCGCCCTAAAGCGTAAGTGATGGGTTTACTTATGCAGCCTGCATAAAACTGCAAGTGCCATACAATGATATCTAGAGATATAGATGCAGGTATATCTATAGATATTTATCTCTTGTGCAGAACATCCTCCTTCCGTGCTAGAAATTAACTGCTAGCACATGCCTCCATATTTGAGCTTGCACCTGTTGACAGCCACGTACCATAGAGGGAGTACAGTACCCGGACAATGGAAGGCAAGAAAAGGAAGACAAGTTGCTGCTGACAGTCAGGACAGTCAGCAGCAGGCAGTATTCTAGCAGGTGCCTGGAAAACCCATGAAGACCACTTAGCATGCATTGTATATCCATAAATACTTCTTGCAGGCACTGTGTGTGAAGGCACAGCCAAAAAAGACAACGGCAAAGACAAGCTGAAATACAAAGGCATGAATTCAACTGCACCTTAGACAAAAATTGTGACTATGCCTCAAAAAAGCAGAAAACTGATACAGCCTGACGTTAAAGGCTGAGATGCAATAGGTTTTTTCAAGCCCATGAAGGCTGAAAACACAGTGGTGCAAGCCTGCTCTGCTTAAGCAGGATTTTAAAGAGCACCACAGTCAGGCTGTGTCTCTGGACTTGCTTGTCACAGGCTATTAAATAGAAGCAGATGAACACAGCAGGTTGCAATCAGCATGTTTCAGGGCTAGCAAATGCTTTTCACTACAGTTGAGGCTGTTACAAGAAAGAAGCCCATGCATTCCCCATTAGGATGCTTGTCTGCTACGAGAAGCTGCCACGAGCATCCATATTCACAGCCCCAGAGTTCTCAGATGGATTAGTTTCAAGTGATGCCACCTTACAGCCACAGGCATTAGAGGAGAAATGTCGCCTGCCCTCACAGTGGCCATGGAGACTGTCCAGTCCAAGCTCCATAGGAGCACTGAGCATAACGTTTTGGCACCTCAATGGGATGGATTCCACCATGGCCAAGTCACAGAAGCTGCAGGAGCCAAAGGAGTGGGCTTTGGCTTCTGTTTCGTACATTGCAAGGTACCTAAGGGCTCTGAAGACAAGGCTAAACATTATGCCTGAAGTCCAATCAAACTACCATTTCAGATATCAGAATTAATCTGAATAAAAAGCTATGGTTTATAAGCAGCACAGCACATCTAAGGCACATGTATGCATGCAAGCCACCATCACTGTATTAAGACATTGCTGGTTTGTCTTGAAGCAATGGCTGCTAGTACAGAACAAACATAGAGGCTTTTTCAGCACTAATCCTCCTCCCCAATACTGAAAATACTATATACTGCTGACAGCATAATGTGCAACATATATAGCTTGATTGGAAAGCATGGGGCAGAACTTTAAAAAATGTACAGGATTCCGTTTAGAACTCCAAAGTTCAACAAATGCCCTATTTTAGGGTGAAAACAATTATAAATCTGATAATGATGCACAGCATCCATGAGTGATTTTTCCTTAATTTTGAAATAGTGTCATTAACTACGACATATATTGTAGGTTTACATTTCTAAAGAGAAATAACAGAATTGAATAGTTTTTTTTCCTATCACAAGTGATAACCAGTGTTTGATATCTTCTATTTTTTCTTCCAAGAAATATCAGTCTATCAACAGTTTTAAAATAAAATGTTTTCTGTAACAATAGAACTTTAAATAAAAATATGATTTTGATTCAGATACTTTTGAGAAGACATGGATACTTTTCCAAGATCTTCTGACAAAGTAATTATTAAAACAGAGACCAGATGAGGCCTTAAAAAGACAAGATACTATATTTCAGACAAGATTGCACCTCAGTTTTTCAAAGAATATCATAATTGCAACATTACTTCATCTTCTTTTAACATGCTGACAATTTCCAGCTAGCCCACATGTGAAGGGTTTTTCTTGTATTCTAGCTTAAAAGAAATGAAAGTCAGTAATTGATTCAGCACATACTGTATATGTCTTTTCACCTCCAATTGACTAGATAATTAATAAGTTAAAAAAAATCCTCTCTGACCATAATCACTATCCTGAGGAGGGATAAGTGATTCGTCAGAGCTCAAGTGTTGCTAGTTCTATTAAAAAATATACCATGGTATGATTTCTTAATGTGTTGCTACTTTCGCAATTGGACCCTATGCAGTTATGCCTTCAAACTCTTCCATCTGTTCCACAAGGTGGTTCTGTGAGCTTTAGGACCTCTGATTGAAGACAAACTGATATAAAACCCCCAAACGGAGTTGCCTTCTGTTTAATCCGCCTCCCCCAGCGTATGTCAGGGGTCTGGTAGATCCGATGTATCCACTATGACTTTAATAAAAATAGTATCATCTTTAATATACGTTCCATTCTCTAGAACAGTTTGAGCCACAAACACCGGGCAGCCAGATGCAATGTTCATTTCTCCAGTTGGCTTCTTGAAGCTGCTGCTGTTCGGATCTGGCTTGAAAGCATCTCCCAAGTGGCGCCGAGACGGTCCCTGATCCATGAGCATGAGAGTCACTTTCTGTTTGAAGGGCCAAGGAAGCAAAGCATCGTATTCTCCACGCATGATGACAAAAAACAGAGACAAGTGCGTCCCCTTTCCCATGCCATCCCCATTCAGATAAACCCTGGCACACATCTTGTAGCCAAAGTATCCAGTATAAAAGGGTTGGCTGTACAGGGACAGAGTCTTCCCCATGACTGCTTCTTGCTTCCGACGTTTATAGTCTCGGATTTTCCAAATCAACACGCCGTTGTAACTCGCGGTTTCCAGGACCTGGAAGCGCAGGTCCATGTCAGCCAGCCGGATGTCGTGAACGCTCAGCATCTGATCGTGCCTGCTCAGCTGGGTCTCCAGCAGGCCTGGCAGAAACACAAAGGATGGGGGTGAGAAACCTGCTGCTTACTAAAGACTCTAAAAACCAACCACCAGTGCTGCTACTGTGCATGAAAACGCTTTCCTCCCTGAGAACCAAAGTGCATTTGGCCACTGATGAAGCAATTTCGACAGGCTCTAATTTGCTGGCTGGCATCTAGGTTAGTTGGGATTTTTACAAATGTGGGTGTTAATTGTACATGCAGTAAAAGTCAAATATTCAAATCACCTAACAGATATTTCCTGGTCACTAAACAGTATAACTAGAGGCTTCCATTTTTTGAAAGGAGACTTGGTAGCATTAACTGCAAATTTCTATTTAGCAGGTAAGACCTTGGAAGCAGCTACACATCCTATGTAATCCCTCTGAAATTCAGAAGTATTCCTGATCACTCAAAACATTCTTTTTAGACACTATTTGTCTCAGAAGCACAGTGCTGCTACAATGTAAAGTTATTCATTAAAAAACAAAAAAATTCAAGCTTAGATCTGTATTATATGGTCGTTTATTTGGTTTGGAGGGAGAGCTATGTTTTCTGTGTCCCCTTTCCCTTTCATGTTACTCTTTTCTTTTGTTACTGGTAAAATTGGCCAACACACAATACTGAGAAGCAGATGAATTCATAAGGCAGGTTTATCTTATATAGGTCTATTTAAATGTTCTTTGTCACAAACATTTAAACACTTGCATATCATCTACATTGTCCTGCTGAATTCCAGTCTTTATCCAGAAATGTAATAACCTCATTCTTAAGCAGATCTCAGTTTTCTTAGGATCAAATACATCGGTCTAACAGAATCAGGATGGGTGGTTTCAGGTGGATAACCATACTGATCCATTCACAAGGGAGAAGAATAGTAAAAAATGCCAATACTATAGGCTATATTTAAAGAAGACTAAATTTAAAGAAGTTGCTGAAAGCTAGTAGCTATCAAAGATCAATTGAAAAACTGTTTATAATGAGCTAACAATGCAGTCAAGACAAGAGTCAATAAAACAAAAAAGACAATAATCATGCCTAAGAAAAGCAATGCCACACCAATAACAAATGAAATACACAATCTCCTACTCAAAAATCAGAAGAATCAGCATTATTGATGTTTCCATATAAAAGTCACAATGGCAGTGCCACTCAAGGGACGCCGTTTTCCTCTCAGCAGCACCGCAGCCCATTGTGCTCACACTCACTTGTATTCCGAGCTCCTTGCCCTGCAGTTTTATCAACACTTTCCAGCTCAGTCACTCTGTTCTGGAGGGATTCCACGCTGCTCTTCATGCTGTCAGCCTCCTCCCAGTTCTGTCGGAAGGGACGGATTTCTTTGTCCAGTTCTTTGAGTTTCTCTGCTTGACTGTCTATCACTCGCTTTACAAAATAATAGCATATGAGTTAAAATAACACAAAGACATTCATTTATGCAAATTAAACAAAGATTATATGTTGGTAATAAGACTGAATTCCAATATAAACACTTTTTGCTTTTGTCTAGTATTTTAATAACACAAACCTTGAAAATTTAAAGGAATAGCCCAGGTGTTTATGAAACGCTTAAAAAATATTTAGTGCTCCATAGGTAGAGCACTATCAGAATTAGCAATAGCCTTATTTTAAAAAAGGGACTTGTTAGCATGTACCTCTTGTCTAAGGTAGTTTGATTTTTTGAGTTTTTTTTAAACCTTTCAATATAAGAGCAATTTTCTGAATGTCTCTGCATTGGTATTATGGGCTGATACCTGTTGGGTTTCATGTGACAGTATTAAGCAACAAAATATGGGCACAGCTTCCCGTGGTGTGGATCAAATGGCTGCCCATGTGCTCAGGTTTATATTGGTTTACAGCAAAATAACTTATGCCTCCAGGAAAACATCATTATTCTTGCACACATGGAACATGAGTACACACATGTGCAAGCTCCCAGCTCACATAAATCAGTAACCAAAGCCTAAGTTATTATGTGCCCACAACCATATCAGAAGCCCTCAGGAATGTAAGCAAAATGATCACTTCTGTCCCCTTAAGTACCTTTAAAATTCCCACTCTTACTTCCTAAACTCAATAACCCATGCATTTTGAAGACATTTTCTGTTGAGTCTTTTTAAGAAAACAAACAAAAAAATAGCCCAGCTGGTTTTGGAAAGGCATGAAATATAACACTCAAAAAAGAAATAGACAGAAAGGCCAGTATTCTCTTAAAGAGGGACATTGCAATCACCTCAGTATAATAAAATATAAAGAACATATTTCCCAGTCTACCTCAAATCTGATGCAAGAAATACACAGCACTTCACATTATCACAGCTAATTTGGACTAGCAGGAATTTTAGCCAGAACCCTATAATCAGTTGTGAAGTTCAAATGATAACAAAGTATCTGAGAGAAGAAACTACTTTTGCTACCACCTACAGTTAAATTCCAAATCTGACTTTATAGCTTTAGAGTTTACCATCATATAGAGCCAACAAAGGTAAAAATGATTTTTCATTTCTTCACAACAGTAAAGTGGCAGTTGAGTACAAAACAAGAAAATAAATTTCTTTTGCATTTGCCTTCTGGCTGGCCACGTGGATTCAGTGTTCCCCACTGATGGGGAAAACCCTTCTGCCCTTTGAGCCATTTGCTTTTAATCACGTGGTTTCATTTATACTGAAAGTCTGTAACCATTAATTGAAGGTTGTCAGTTTGATGAGCCAGCTAGCAACATCAGGTTCTAGGAGTCTTATTTTTTGTCTCAAAACAACTGAGCAATGTAACATATTTCAGGATTAACTATTTCTTTCTATGCTCCTGTTTTAAAACAAGTTATGTATCTCTCACATCCAGAATTAGGGCTCTGTGAAGGAAAGCTGTGCACTGGATCATAAATGCCAGGGGTATGGGCCCAGTAAATATATGAAGTAGCTTGCCTGGACTTACGAAACACCACTTACCAACCCAGTCACACCCTCAAACCTGGGCTGATGGTAATCAGACAGTAGAGCAGGGAAGGGCTGTTAGCCATATAAATAAGGAAACATACCACAGCATGGCCTGACTGCATGTTGTGAGAGCAGAACCAAAGGATTTAGCCACTAGTTCACAGTTAACATGCAAAAGTAACTCAAAATATGCCCAAGTCTGATATTTTTCCTTTACTCATACCAAACATGAACTTTCCAAGGCAAGAACTGTAACGTGGCTGGAGTTTGCACAGCGCCTCACAGCTTGCACCTCTTTGGACTAACACAGCATCAAACAAAAGAAATGATCACATTTTTATATGAAAGGGGAAGTGCTAAACATGCAGAACAATTGTAAGCTATTCTTCTGGGAGAAGTTTACCCAAAACTGTTATTAGGGACCCACTTCTCTCCATCAACCTGTGCAACATTCCACCTTTGTACATACATAACCAATTCTGGTTTAGCTGCTTCTGTTTCACATTGGCAAATGTGTAGCATTTTTATCTACTGCACCTTGACATGGGAATTGAAGAGATATAATCAGAAATAAGACTTCTATTTAATTTTTTAAAAGCAGTGGGATCTCTATCTTTTTACCCTACAGGGAGTCAACCTCCCTCCTGCTGGGAGATACTGATGTACTAAATCTGAATTTAATGCAGCAGTGGAGATTTTCACTCTAATTATTCCATTAGAAAGCACACAGATGTCTCACACTGTACTCATAAATTTTCAAGTAGATATCAATTTTCTGCATGCACTTTTCATTCTAGCAACTGACCTCTCTGGATCATTAATCCCGAGTTATGTGCTTGGCAAACCTTTGTGAGCTCCTTTTGATGTTGATTTTCATATAGGGTTTTGTTTAGTATTTCTACCAACTTCCAGAATTTTAGCACTACACTTACTAAAAGAATTTCAGAAAATGTCACAAAGAACTGATGAGCTGTAATGACCTTTCCATTGCAACTGATAGGGCGAAACTGAAAAGCTAAAGAACAGACTAGAAAAGGTACTGCTTGACTTGGAAAAGAAATCACGTGTCCTTCTCCTCTGAAGGAAGGTATTACTCATCAAATCATTTTATGTTCATGAGGCCACTGTTTCTTTTGTCCCTCAGTACCTCACTTCTCCACCCTGCTTACAATGGGATTACTCACAGGCTTCCATTTCCATATGAAAGACTGGACACTGCACGTGAAAGTTCCTCTCCACATGACAGCAGCCAAAAAAAGTATCACACACCCTTGGTAAAAACACTTTCCCTTGAGACCAGTATAGAGAAAACTCATCTGAAAACAAAGCATCTCTAGGCTGAGGCTCCTGCCAGTGCCCAGACTCCCTTGATGCATTTACACTGGCTGTGTCAGATGCCTCACAGTGCAGATGATGCTCAGTGATTCTGCTGCCACTCCCCAGCCAAAAAGGTCACCTGACAGCCAATACTGGAGCTGTACTAGACATCAGGAGCATTTGTAGGTCTTGGGGGACTAAGCAAATACCCCTTGCTCAGAGCTGAACTGGCTAGTGCAGTATCTGTGGCTCTCAGGTAACCACAGCTGCTCAACACAACCCAGGGAAAGAATGGCTCACAAAAGGTAACTAATTCCTTCCACTCCTGGTGGGCAACTGAAGGAGGCTGATCACGTTGTCCAGGAAAAAACAAATTGAGGCATGTTTCCAGGATATCCTTAACAATCAGACTGAACCAGGAAATTCTGCTAAGTGGAAGCAAACAGGTTGAAATAGCATTGAAATACAGTTTGGCTTAAAATAACTAAATTGAAATAGCTGGCAAGAGGAAGTAAAGAACAGGAGGGAAAAAAAAAAGAAAAAAGATCAAAACATTTTTTCCAGTACTTATTACCACCACAAAGCCACTTGTTGGAATTTGCTGCTTTGTAGAGGTTTGGGGTTTTCTTTTTTCCTAAACCAATCACTCGAAAATTGATTTTGCTAACACTTACAGCTCAAGGAAAAAGATATTGCAATCTGTCATTTAAGACAATAATGAAAAACTCAGATCTATGTTTTTTTCCATTTCCACTCTCACTGCTGGCCATTGAGACAGCATGTGTAAGAACTTCAGGCTTACAAATTAACTTACCTCCTGGTAGATTCAATCAGCAATATCAGTACATACAAGGATTAGCTCCCCAGTGTCAGAATGCAATATTGCAGGCAGGCAGCCATATCCCAGACTATCATCAGACAAGGAACAATGACTAAGGCAGGCTGGGCTGGTTACTAAGTGGGCAGGTCATGGAAAGAAATTACTGCTATAAGGAAAAATGTTGCAGTTGCTAAACTTGAAGGTTTCCTTATAAACCATCATCAAGGGTCTCCAGGCCCTGAGCTCCTGAATGTGCCACCCTTTGAACCCTTTTAGCCACACACTGGTTTGGATACCTTTATCTTTCTTGAGTTATCATCATTTGCAGTTTATATGTGAAGTGAATAGTAAGTGAAAAAGATAATTTTATTTCCATTCCTTTAAGGTGAATGCTACAACAAGTATCTGATATTCTAGCAGCAGATACTACATTAATGTGTAAATGATACCTCCACAATTGCTTGCTAAATACCTCCTGAGGTTTCCCTTATTGTGGGTAGTGTCATGCAAGCTAATACAAATTCCCAGCACCCACACTGCAAGTCAGCTTTGAATACAGAGCAAGGAATTTCAGCTTGGGCTAACCACCGTGCTAGGGCATCCTGAGGATTCCTGGTTTCATGCTGGCTTGTGGCCAGGTCATTCAAAACACAGAACATGAAACTGAGACCTATCAGCAAAGGAATAACTAGATAAATTTTCCTCAGAAGGATAACAGTAATCTGGATTTTTAAAAAGTGTATTCAAATGCATTATGCTATGTTTGAATTAAATCCACACCAAACTGTTCTCACTCATGATTTGTATTTATTTTTAATACCAGCAAGTAGAAAAGGAATATATGTAATATTCAACAATTTTAAGGTGCTAATCTTGTGCTTCAGTGGGACTTCCTTAAGCAGTTTTTTTAAGTAAAAAAAAGATAATTCTTCATATAAGATTTCTATTTTGTTTTCAATCTTTTCCCTTTTTAAGCTTTTGTTTTGTTTTAACATAGGCTAGGCAATTGCAGTGGTTTACACAACAAACCAGAAAAAAATACCAGAATGGTTCTCTAATAATGTAAAATATCTCCCCCCACTTTTTAATTATACCACCTCACTTCACAAGTGTAAAGGCACAAAACAGAAGCTACTGCCATTTCTGCTTTAATGGGGAGAGTCTGTATTTCTTACCTGTAAATGAAGTATTTTAGATTCATTATTCCGCAGCATTTCCTTCTGTCTTTCAATTTCTATTTCAAAGCTACAAATCTGATTATGTAAAGTTTGTATACTCTTGTTCTTTTCCAAACTTTCATTCTGGAGCAAGGCCACCTGGAAAAAATTCTACAATTACTCCTGCCAAAGTTTATCAAAATACTAAAATAGCTATGTTATTTTAAAACTATCTTAAACACATGAAAGGGATAAGATCCTAATAAAATCTCTCTCCATGTATTGCAAATAAATAAATAAAACCCAACCTTCTGATAGCTAATTTTGCACTTCCAGTGTATGACATTGGTACAACTTTGGCTTAAGAAAGTGCAGATGGGACACAAAACCAGCAAAGAATTTGTGTCTAAATGTAACATTTTCTTTATTCACTTGTTGTTTAATGGCTTGGTTTCCTGGTTTCCACCAACTGACTTGGGAGTTGCTTGGAGTTTGGAAGAAACAACTTAATTCACTCTGAATTGGTGTTAAGAACTCGAGCCCTGCACAGAAGGGACACCAGAGACAAGCTGAGCTGGCTGGATCAGGGAACACTAATTTTCTTCACCTACTCCAATATGTCCTAACCTATAGCAAATTTAAGGAAAAACATCTACATGGGACTGACTTGGCTTAAAAGAATGTGATGGTGATGAAAACTCTTGAAATGAATGACTGTGGAAGGGATCCATGCATTTGAAGGACAATCCAATGGTGCCTACTAGTAGAAAAGACCAAAGAACTACAGGCTGTGGATTACATTCTCTCTCTGTACTGACATTTTATGAATTTATTCATTAGTGACTCATTCTGTTTTTAAAACATGAGCCTTGTTAAAAGAATATCGTTATTATATATCTCCTTGGGGATGAAAGTAATACAGTAAATATTTTCTGTCATACTGCTTAATACTTGTTCATTAATGTGGTTTGGAGAAGGGGGCTGCTTGGTGGTGGTGCATTGCTTTTTTGAGAAATGCAGTTTTCCCCCAGGCAAGATCATTCAGCAGCAAAAATGCAGAAAACAAACACTTGGCACAAGATGATGTTTGGACATGCCCTGACTATTCCACAGATAGATCTTCAAATGGATATGACAGAGCACCATTTCAGACCCAAAAAAGTCTTGATGAATGTTTCACATCAAGACCAATTACTTGGATGTTTCATGGTCTCAAAAAAAAAAAATCTACTCCTAGCCTCTATTACAGCTGCTAGTTTGAGGTTAAGCTACCTTCACATCTGATGTGTTTGCCACTGCAGAATTCCATCCCCCGAACTGCCCTCTAATCTGACACCATCACCAAATCCCTTATGTGTCACTGCATTCTTAGCAGAACCCAGCCTGTTTGAAAAGGTAATTCATCTCAAATCTCTGAACCTAAACTAGACAAAGGACTGTCAAAGTCCACAGGCATTCAGCAAGTTCTTCAGGTGGGGCCCAAAAATACAGAGATACCATAATATATGTGTGGGTATCTACTTTTCAATATAGCACAGGGCAGTACCTGTGCACACACACACACAGGTTGGTTCTGCACTTTATCTATTGAAAAACTGGCAAAAGAAACTCAACAGAAATGAGACAAAGCTAAGTTTGTCAGTGCAGAGAGAGAAGCAATACTGAGACTGAAGGAATGCCTAGGTACCAGAAAAAAAATAAGTTTAAAACCAGTACCTCTGTCCCCCAGATATTTAAGATCTGCTGGGTGGACGCTTCATTTTTTTGCATCCTCCATTTCCGTAATGAATCAGAGTTCTTTAGTTAATTGTGATCTTTACATTTCCCTTTTTTCACTGTTTCCTCCCCAGGCCTCCCAATCACAAGGCAGTTATGGGCTGGGTCACTAAGCATTGCATTTCCATTTTTGTACAAGTTATAAAACATGGGCCTGTTTTGTACTGAGATTTTTCCACGCAGCTTTACGGAATACAAGAAAAGCAGAATTATGTCCTGCAGTCCTTAATCAGACAGAACTGTCATTGCTAAGTCAGCAATTGTAGTTTGGCTGTGATTTGTGAATAAAAAAAAAAAAATTAACACGAAATAGTTTCCTAACTATTGTTTCAACATAAGTCTTTGGAACTTCAGTTTAAAAAAGGGTGAAGGAAACACAGCATCTAATTACAAATTGCATCAGCTTCCTTTACTTAGCTGGCATATTTGAAATATTCCTAGGAAAAAGCATGTTCTTATTCAGCAATTTTGCAAATTAAGCTGTTGCTTATTGTTGCTTACTAAAGAAGAATGGAAAAAACCATATGCCACAAGACACTGTATTCAAACAGGTTCCATACTTAAGTCTCATATAAAAAAACCAAAACATTTTATACCAGTTTTCTGTAAGAATGTGATGAAGCCACAAAATTACTTTCAACTAATTATTTCCAACATTACAAAACTGTGGGAGTTCAGTCTGCAATTCTACATCATCACAAAGGGGAAAAAAGCAGTGAATTTTAATTCCCCCCACAAAGTTTTGATTCAAGATTTTACATCTGACCTTCTCTCACTACTCTTTGCCAGCAGCACCATTCAATACCAAATTCCTAACTTAGCACAAGCTTTGCAGCTCTGAAGACTTCCAGTTCGCCTGCTCCACGTGCACTGTTAAAGAATGTGGTGACTGGGAGGAGAGAACCCCTCCACAGAGACAACCCCAAATGAAATCTTGACCCTATACAAACTAAGAAAACTTCCACTGGCTTCAGCAGGGCTAAGATTTCTGAGATAACCATCAGCCAGTGTGACTTGGCACTGTTGTTCTTCAGTGCATTGATTAATTTTTTCCTCAAAGAAGAGCACAGCAATGAAGTTACAAATCATTTTGTTACCCTTCCCTAGAATAAAGTCACTGACATATGACATGTGGTTAGCTATTCTGGTAACTTGGCACTGGCTTGGGATTTCCAGTGATTCAACTCTTTATTATGAATAGGAAGAAGTCTATAAAGCAGGAAGTAAAAAGAAAAAAAAATGGACATAGGATGATAAGCAGTTTTGTCCTAAATGAAAGTTGAAACAAAAGTCGAGCATAAAACAGTAGCGAAGTGTATCATCTCTAATGTCTGTAAGAGACAAACATAGAACCACTGGGCATTTTTTAAATGACGAAGCACCCCTCAGGACACTGAGAAAAGGCAGAACATGATCTATTCTGCAAGTCACAGGGAAAGTGGGTTTTTTCCTATGATGTGAAATAAATTGTATAATTTTCAGACTAATGAAAAACGAACTAAGGATATGAATCTGTATCTCCCAAAACTGAAAAATGTAAATTCCTACATTGACAAAGTTTCAGATGCAAAAGCAAACTTAAGTAATGTTATGGATCCTCAAACTCAGACCTGCTTATACACATAGAAAAATTGCATCTAAAAAAATCTGTATTAGAACTCTGCCAGGTTCAATGGCTTCTTTAAGAGGCTTCAAGTTCAAAACCAAGCAGTTCAGGAACAACCATGCAGAGGGCAAAAAACATATTACACTGTTCCAGTTAATTGTCTGCTTTAAAACTACAATTCCTGCAACTGCATGACCTTGCTGGAGACCCAGGCAGAAGAGATCTCTGTAGGCCAAGAAGGGAATGTGCTTTTTAGACAGAGTTTGCTTATGATCTGCTCTGAGATGACAGAAATCATATCCCAAGTGCCACTGAGCTTACACTGGAATTGCTACTTGTGAACTCATTTGAGAAAAGTCTGAAGGGGGCTTCTCACTCTTGTGCCTGCATTTGTAGAATACTTTGGTAATTCTGGGATCTTCTTTCCCTTCAAAATACAGAAACATCAGTTTGATGCCTATGTAAGACTCTGTATAAAGGATTTAAGGAAACAGCAATTTGTTCTGAAATTTTGCATTTTTTAAATCAAAGGCTTGAATTTTATTTGCCGAACATGTGGTTAAGTCATTCAAGCTTATTCACAAGATCATAGCTGATACAACTCCCAGCATCTCCCAAATAATTTAAAACCTGGAGTCCCAAGGAAACACTGCAACATGAACTTCATGCTGGTCTAGCACTAAAGCAGACATCATCATGCCCATGAGTTACAATATATTTAATTTAATTAACCTGTGCAGGTCTTTAAGTTTGGAGAGCAAGAACAAAAATAAATAAAATAAATAAAATAAATAACCAGTTTATTACACACTTCTGAAGTTATGGAAAAATGATGAGGTAGCAAAGATACAGCTCATAGTGCTGCCATGGCTTTCTGAACTCTCTGTTCTGTAAGAAGGCAGCTCAGAGAGGAAATATAACACTGGACTGTTTATTTATCTGAAGGAAGTGTTTTAATGAAGTTATCAATGAGGAAAATTGTCCATGGAGTTGCGAAGCCAAGTTTCTCACAGCATTTTATTATATAACAAAGGCACAAAGATATGCTAAATGGCTTGATAGCTTTTAAAGCCTACTAGTGCTTTAGCTGTAATGTTGAACAGCTGTAAAACACAAAAAAGCGTTTCTTCCAGTACTTCTCTATGATTTAAAGAAGTCAATGAAAATTAGAAGTGAGTAGAAGATATACCTTATTTTCTAGAGCATTGCTCCACTCTTTCAATAAGTTAACATGCTGCACTGCTGAGCTGGCTTCATGTGCTTTAATTTGTTGGTTTGTTCCCTGTGACAACAAAGAATTTATACATTTTAGCCAATTCCACTTCTTTTAAACCTACAAAGAAAGAGTATATAAAGACATCGAACCAACACTACATATTTTGGTTCACAGGTGCTTGTTGCAGAACTGTAGAGAGGAGGGAAATCTACTTGGGAATTTACAAAAGTCAGGAATACATTTAATATAGCAAGTGTTTTATACAACTGCTATGTATCTCCATCCAGTGTGCTTGATAACTCAGAAACAATAAAGATGAACAAGATTTACAAAATGAGTTGTATTTTAGAGCCTTTTGTGTAGCTTAGAACTAAACAAAGCACAGTAAAACCCTTGAGTCATATAAAATCTTCCAATTCCACTGACTGTAATTTAAAACTTCCATTCCATTTCATGAACAGCTTCATAAGCATTACATTTTCCTTCAGCTGAATATTAAAGACAAATATTTAAGATAAATTTATCACTGGAAACTGCCAGCTTTATAAACTACACTGAGAGTTATTACAATGCCTATTTTGTCACATTAAGATGTTACCATGATCGTTCTGTGATACTCAGATATGCTGCCTCTGCACAACCTATAAGTGCTGTTACAAATAATCACTATATAGTTTACAGAACACACATAGATTATATACAGAGTACATAAGATGCAGACCACATTACTTACTTCATTTGTATTGTGCTGCTTACACCTACTTCAGTAAGTGCTTTGCAATGCAGAGAATATTAGCTTTGATGGTAGATAGTGCTGCAAAGCAACTGAAAGGGTTTCAATGATCCTCAAGGTATGTACTCTATATAAAGTACTAAAAATATATATGTGGATATATGTACATATATGCACACATATACATACATAAAATGAATGGCAATACGTACAACATAACAGTGGGCAGGCTTACAGCATTGATCAGTTCTACCTCTAAGAGCATTACTGTTAACACTTGAAAAGATGAATGCTCATTATTTAAGAACCTGGAAATACCTGCAGGATATCATCTATAGAGATGTGTTGCTCCTCAGTGAGTCCTTGTCCTTTAAAATAGCCATGGGCTAACAAAGGAATCATTCTATCAGACAAACGCCATTTCTTCCTGTCAGCGGTTTCTGAAATGTCCTGACTAATATTTTCATTACATAAGCATCCCAATTCCCCAGGATTTATGGTAAGGGAAGCAGAATATTGGAAGAAACTGGAATACTGCTACTGAAACTAAACTCTCAGGTTTTACTTAATTTTTTAATATTGCAGGGATTGCCAGGATTAAAGCCTAAAACTTTTCTTAAAAAATGAATTTCATGCTTTGATTATACACCTGTGTGCACACAGACATATTAATGCACATAAAAATACATGTTTTAAGTGTGCTAACCTACATGTAACCTCAATTAAAAATATTAAGACACACAAATGAGAGAAAATATAAACATACTTAGTTGAAGAAAATGCTTTCATAGAAACAACTGAAGTTACCAGTCTATTATCTGAAGAACTAAAGAGACTTTCCTCTTATCCTCAGTTAACAAGTTCTTCAAATGGTTCATATTCCTATTTCAACAAGATACACCTAACAACTGAACTCACAAACCACTGCAGGAATGTGTGGGCTTTTCATGTTGATTATTTTAAAATGCAAAATCAAACATCTCCTGTATAATCACTTGGTGCAACTGGATGATTTTCTTAACTGAAACTAGAGAAGTCCAGAACTTTCATGTCAAAGAATTAGGTTCTATTTGCAGACTTTCATCAATTGGGAAGTATAATTGTTATATACTGACCTGAAAAGTGCAGCCATAACGCTTAAAACTACAGGTACTTGGGGCATTAATACATTCTGACAAATGTGCATTCAACTGCAATAGGAAAAAAATGTGAGTTTTGGCAAAAAGACTTTTGCATGATAACATAAAGGGCAGAGGTTATCAGGTTTGTATTGTGTGCCATTTGCAGAACATACAACACACATGTGTATATTTTCTCCAGTCTGATCTCAAGTGCTAATTCTGTATATACACATATGTAAACCACACACACATGCCATACAGTATACAGTGTGATACATTTAATATACAGTGAAACTTCTACCAAAGACTATTTCAATGGGCAACCCAATTTAAGAACATACTCTATAATTATTTGATTTCATTTGACTTTAGTGAATGGCTCATCTTTTCTCAAAAAATGAAATTTTTTTTACTGGTGCTCTGAGCAAGTCTTAAGATCAGTTTCACTGTAGTAAAGTACATTTTTTTCTGATCCTGATTTCACGAGGAACCAACTTTTCAAAACATAACATGCAATTCTCCGTGCCTAAATTTAACAGTTAAATTACACAAAAAAGACTAAACAAGTACTGCATGAAACAGACAAAGAGTTTTAGAATAGGTACTGTTAAGTAACTTCTATAAAAATGCAGTACACGGGATTAAAACTGATTAGTAAAATGCCTGCATTTTTCACAGATTGAGATTTAGTCCAATATCTTGGATTATTACAAGCACAGACCACTTTTGATTTAAAAGTAAACCAATTCACAGAAGCATGTACATATACATGGACAGCAGCAGCACAGACGGCAGCAGCTGGATGCAAAATGCCTAAAAGTTGGAGCAGAGAGACATTTTTGGAAAGGATAGCCTAACAAACACTCTCCTTTCAAAAACACAGTCTGCAGTTTGTATTTCCCACAAAGCAGACAGGAGCCACAGCCTGGCTCCTCAGCTGGCATCACTCTTTTGGGCTGCAGAATCTCATCTGAAATTCCCACACCTTAAGCCCCACATGACTCAGCTCATCCACTTCCCTGGAAAGAAGTGGTGAATCAACACTGCTCTCAAGTGTAGCACTGGAACAGACAAGAGAGTCTGTAAAATCTCTTACTGAGATGCCATCAGTCACTCATCTCTGATTCACAACTATTGTGTTCTAAACACTACCTGTAGAAATTCACAGTATCATTTCAAAAGACGTGTAGTGGAGAAAAAAAAATGAAGTACGAAAGGGACATGTGGTCTAACAGGTTTTACAAGAATGCCACGTTTTTCAACTTCTGAAAACCAGAAGTCTGCCAAGGAGTTATGAATTAAACATGAAAATTGCCTTTTATTCTACAGTAAGATATCCTCTTGTACACTACAGAATTTTCTCAAACTGTTAGGCAGGCATTTTCCCATTTTCTGCATTAGACTTCTTGTCCCTAATCATGCAACCAAGAAATACATATATTTTCACAGTATTAGGAAAAAAAAAAAAAAAAGGCAACATACAGCAACAGATGATGCAGGGCAAAGGGCTGTTTAAAGTTCTGTTCCTACCCATGGTTTCAAACCCCATTCTAACTCTGTGTGTAACAACCCAGCCTTTAATGGTGCAGCCCTCACAAGCACTCAGACACACCTCTTCTGAAAGTAACTGCAGAAGTCAGGCTTTAAGAATAAGCCAAAGTGCTCCAGAACCAGGATCTAATCTTGGCAGTAAGCACTGGTAGGGTTGGCCAGTATAAGTATCTTCTCTTTTCTTAACAGCTCGATTTCTCTTAATAAATACAATATCTAACATATATTTTGTATTTAATTATCTTGGAGGAAAAGACTGCATTAAACTTTGGCAGGAGTCTTATGTGCCTTCTGCACTCTGCCACAATTAATAATTTACAAGTGCAACTAAAAAATGGTATGAATCCAGCTTGGGAAGTAAGTAGCAGAGGAAAGAGAAAAGCTCATCCTCAGATCAAAAACTTCACTTTCCTTAAAAGAGGCTTACTGAGTGATGAAGACTCCAGTAAGGTCTTCTCTATCCTTGGCATGTTCTACTTTAAGGGAAAAATTAAGTACCTCAATTTTGACAGATGCTACTTTTATCTTTTCATGTACAAGAACATGGATCTGTTCAAAGTCAGGCTTAAGATTTTTTTCATCTACATACTAATTACTGGAAGCTTCTACACATCAGGAGAAATTTTATGCATTGTTGCATCAGCTGTTAGTGTGTTGTACTCAACCTTAATCTTACACCATTTCTCTAAGTATCAGTTACTATTTTCCCCTCAAAATTTAATAGATTTCATAGCAATTTAAGTTTTTCCATGAAATTACACATCTGTATGATTTTTGTAGTCTTTACTAACTCTTGTCAATGTGGACTGAATTTTACTTGTATATTTTTATTTTAATATAAGCTAACTACCCCAAGATGCTGCTCTGTGGTGCTGAAACGAGGGAAGGGCAGGGGGAGAGCTAGTAAAAACAAAAGCAAGGAGGACATGCGCTAATCTTGGACAAGCCAAGTGTAATAAAGACTCAAAATAAAGAAATTGTCTCTTTTTAAATAGTTTTTCAAGAAATCATTAAAAATATTTGAGTGTTATCACACTTAACTGTGTGGTAGAAAAAGCTTTTCCTTAGATCTCACATTTTAACAAGGAAATGGCTTCTGGCAAAATTCTTGCGAGATCTTACTAAAGACATTTAATTTTTCAGCACAACACTGGGCATGACTTCTTACCTCGCTCCTCATGAGTGTTTTAACACTACATTTATGAGGACATGAAACCATGACACATGGGCAGTCTGTATCTTCATGTTTCTACAGAGGAAAAAAGCAAACAAACCACAAATCAGAGCTTACTCTTTAATTAAGAGAGGACTTACCTGCAAAGAAAAGCATCCTACAATAATTAAAAATCCCACAAGATTTTTTCAATGTTATTCCCAGTTGTACAGTTACAGAACTGCAATTGCTCAAACATCACTTTATACTTTTGATGGAGGTGTTGATATCTTGAAGCAAAACCAAGGGTTTCCTTTTGTTCTCCCATGCAAAGCAAATCTATTTTCTTACCATTTTATTGCTTTTACTTCATACAATGAAACAGCAGTCAAAGTAAAGTTTTAATCCCCAACAATTACTCACAAAATTGGACATCTTTAAGAGAAAGTAGAACCAGTCGAGATGTCCTTTCTAGTGAGGGTATATACTGCATGGAAAAGTTCTTTAGAAATGTACACTGTCCACTCTTAGGGATTCTCTTTCCTACATATGGATATTCCCTTCTAATTTTTTTCCAATTTTGATTCCCAAATACCTGATATTAAGATTCACTGTTACACATCATAATGCTGGGCAGGGATTTTAACCTGAATCCAGATGACAAGTTATCTCAGCATAGCTGTCAAACCCTACCACCCTGGTGAGGGTTTCAGGCCCAAGATAACTGAATTTACATTTCCTCTCTGTCTTCTCAACAAAATGAAAAATCTGTTTCTCGTCAAGTGACATGTCCCATTCAACTTGAAACACACTGCTTCATTTCTGGTACTTGAGAAAAGCAAAGGAAACAAAGCTCTAGATTTATAAGCCTGTTAGAAAGGGAAGAACAAATAGCATGCCCTTTTTGCTCAGTAACCAGGTCTATTTTTTGAAACAAGACCGAGAAGTAAAGGAGAACTGATCTCCAAGATGTGAAAGGCCTTGGTCAGAATTCTGGCACTGTCTGAAGTTGTGTATCTCCTCCTTTTAGAGCAGGCCATCAGATGCTGTCCTGAGCCATCTACCCTGCCATGCTCCCCACTCACACTCACTCACTTGGGCTGTGGCACAGTCCCAGTGACAGGGACCAGGGAACCCTCAGCTCAGCCAGAGAGCTGGGACAGCTCCTGAGCCACCTCCAGTCCATCCCACCAGGGGACCCAGGCAGGAGCAGTGCCAGCCCCTCTCCTCAGAGCAGCCTGCCAGGGTGACAGCCATGCTCTTCTGGCAAGAGGAGCTCCAAAGCACCCCTCCTGCTCAGAGTCTAGAGCTGGACCTGGGCCTCTCATTCTGAACACACCTGGAATTGTGCTGAAGGGAGACATCTCACACAACCACGTGGCTTTAGGAGCCTAATGCCCTACACAAGTCCTTATCTATTTATCAACTACAAACCCAGACAAGTAATACTCCTGTCTAATGTTCATTCCCTAATTTTAATTCCCTAACCCTGTTCCCTAACCTACCCAAACCATCTGACAAAGGCTGTGACACTGAGTCTTGGTTCGTGATAAGAAGGCAACATGCAACTTCTCAGCATTCTCTCCTGTTTTCCTCCTTGCTCCACATCCCAGCATCCACTCACTGAAACCACAGAAAACCTTTCCAGAGACTTCAGGAGATACCAGAGCAACCCCAGTCCAGTGGCAGAACTCTCTCCCTCCCAGTCTCAATTCACCCAGTTGAGCACATAAAGCCAAACACCAAATCCAGCACAAACCACAGGTGACAGCACATGCAGGGCTCCCAACACAGGTGAGGGCAGGATTTTAACACAGCTCTCAGAAGAGCCAGGGCCACATGAAGAACATGTCTGGCTCCAGAGCAGTGACAGGGAGCAAGGGAAAAAGTGTGGGGTCATCCCCAGCATTATCCCAGTCAGCTCAGCTGTGTTTCAGACCATGGGGCAGAGCCCAGATTGTCCTTGCAGGGTCTGGTTTATGGCCAGGGTTTCAGGGAGGAGCCCAGGCACAAAACAGTGCTGTCCTTCCAGACCCCTGTCTAAGTATCAGTGTTACAGGACAAGCACTTCCAAGCAGCTTTGTGAATTGCACACAGAACAATACAGTAATCCAGGAGCATTTCATACTACTGATTTCCATTTTAACAATGCACCATCTTTATCTGTCAGGAGGTAGAGGATGGAAAAGGTAGGTTTGTGACAAAAAGAAACCCTAAATTTTTAGATGGTTTGAACAAAGGACATTAGGAGGCAAAGTCACCAAGTGAGCATGCAGGCAAGACTAATGCAATCTAAAAAAGCTTTCTACTAACATTGTTAACTTGTTGGAGTCTGCCTCCAACCACGGGGATTTCCTACCCCACCAGTCACGGGATTCTATGAAGACATGAACCACATGCTCTCCAGTAAAATTTTTTGTTTCCATTTGCATACCTTTTTTCTCAGTCTGCTCCCCCTACCTCCATTTTCAGTTCAAGTCACTGAGGCCAGCTTCAGTCATTATTACATTAGAGAAAATTCTAGGCGGCAGAACCCAGAGACAAACTCAAGCTCATCTCTAAAAATCCAGTTTTGTCAACGGGGTGACAAAACTCAAATGAGAAGTCAAAAGAAACCTTACAGTACCTAAAAGGTCCTACAGAAAGCCAGTGAGGGACTTTTTTTACGGAGGCATGTAGAGATAGGACAAGGGAGAAGGGCTTTAAGCTGATAGAGGGCAGATTTAAATTAGATACTAGGAAGTTCTAGACTGTGAGTGTGGTGAGGCACTGGAACAGATTTTTCAGAGAAATAGCGAATGCTTCGTCCCTGGAAGCATTCAAGGCCATGATGGATGTGGTTTTGAGCAACCTGGTCGAGTGGAAGCTCTCCCTGCCCACAGCAGAAGATTTGGAACAAGAATGATCTTTAAGGTCCCTTCCAAGCCAAACCATTCTGTGAATGTAAGATTTAAACATACAGTGTCATTAAGCTTCTCATTCTCATTACTAAAGTATAGTGAGATAACATTTTATCAGGCCACAACAAAGAAGCCCATCTGCATTTCTATAACCACTGAACTTTTAAAAATCTAGGAAAAAGTCCCAAAAATATCAGCCAATCCAGTTTGCAAAACATAGTTAAAATTCACTAATTTTGTCTGTTAAGACACCACACATTTTTTAGCATCACTTTTTGCCTCATGCCAATCCCCAGCTAATCATAATTCTGGGAGAATAGCATCCCTAATCTACCTAAATACACTTCACCTCTGTATCAGAATGTACAAGAATAAATACAGGGCAGACCTAATTTTTTCTGTGTATTTTCATGCCTCAACCACCTTATTCTAGGTAAGGCACAGTTATTGAACTACCAGCCCCTGCAAGTGTGCACTCAAATAACTGAGAGCCAAATCTAAACCAGAACTTGGGAAGTTTCTACCTATGCCTTTTTGTAACAACAACTCCAAGCAAAAAACATTTCTCATCATTGTCAGACTTCACCTAATAAAAAACAAACAAGAACACAAATGACAATAAAATTTCATCACTCTTACTGTAGTAAGAAGGTGTGAGATCCAAAACCATCAAAACACAGAAAGTAGACAGAATTTTAAAAAGAATATTAAACTCGTACCAAGATAGATTCAGCACAATATCTTTCCATGTGAAATAACATAAACACAGTCAAGTTAAAATTCTATGTGTAATGTAAGCATGACTTTCTCAATCTTTGCTCTGTAATTCTAACCCTCAATATGCTGCCTATCAGACAAGCTACTCTGATGCCAAGAACAGCAGTAATTCATCCTAGGCCTGTCATGTACCACTGCTGGTTATGCCAAGGTACAATTTGTTTTTACATTCTTTCCTTCCTCTTATAAGACAGAACTGGTTTTACATTCTTCCCTTCCTCCCATAACAGATCACACAGTACCCAAGAAGGATTACACAGAAGATGCTATTTTTCCAGTCAATTACAATGCTTCTGCTTTTCTTGCACAATATTTGATTGTTATCATAGTAGTTGCATTTATTATCTAAATGGTATAAAAATCTAAAAGGCATAGCAAAATTAACTTCAGTATCAATACCAGGCAATGGATCTGAACTTTTTAAAATGCAGTATCTGAACATCAGAATAAAGAAAATATTTCCTATTCAATGCACTTTTTGTTTTTCTCAGGAAAAAGACATGTTTTGAAAGTCAGCCTATTTTCTTTTTTGAATTATTAATTCTGGCTGAGGGGCCAAAGTTCTTTTGCCAGCTACAGAGAAGGACAAGAAGAGTTGTTATTATTCTACATTAATGTAGTGAATCTTGATGTATATACAAGAAAATACTGCACCTGCAACATAATCATTGGGACTTGGCTTTTACAGTATTTACAGGTTGTCTCCCGGTATTTACAGGTCTTCTCTACATGGTCTGGCAAATCTTTTCTCAGTATTTTTTCTTTGCAATCAGCACGAGGACATGGGAGTTCTTCAAACTGACAATCAGTCCTCAAATGGATCTGAAATATTAAAAAAAAAAAGTCAATCCAAATAAGTTTTGTGCATGTCTTCCATCCTTTGAAGACATCCAACATTCAATAACTTCAGAACCAAAGTAAGGAGAGTTATTTTGTGAACTGCATCACACAAGAGCAAACACTGACAAATCTACTCAGGAATACATTTCTGACTGTACAGTCCCTTTACCTGGACAGCTGATTTCACTGCATTACAGATGTACATGAGCAGCTCCTACATGAAAAGCATTCTAACACAGCACAAAATTCTACACAGGCTATTTAAAGAAAAAGTAAGCACTCTTTTATAAGGTATATTATTCCACATAAACACAGATGCTGCTTTAAGTTGTCTAGGTACCTGAGCTTGCTCACTCAAAGCAAGAATCTACACATCTCACTGCAAACTGCTGTGCAACCACACCACACAACTGCTGAACTGCTGAATTACTGCTATCTCATGCCTTCACCAAAACAGCTACAGCTTATTTTACACAGCTCTGGAGAAGCCAAACGTTTAATTTCACACATAAACACCACATGAAAGGATTAAGATAAATAAAACACACCAAAATAGAAATCAAATTTCTCACATTTGTTAAGTACACATTAAGATTCTTTACTATTCTATTTCTCCTTCCAGTTCTCATTTGGTTCATACATTAGTATTTTCAGGCTTTAGTGCCAGACAATCACATGATTTTTTATAATTCCTTACAGTTCATAAAAAAGCTGAGTTTTAAAACAATTTAAATCTATTGTAACATTTCTAAATCATATTAACTACCAGTGAAAATAAGTTAAGAAACTGGCTGTGATTTTAATTTGTAAGAATTTTTTCATCAGTCTTTAACTCAAAAGAAAGCTTATGACTGTTAGATTAACCTACCAGTAATTGACCCAAAGATAGCTGTTCCTTACAGCCCTTGTTTTCATTTCTGCAGTATATCTGAAGGGCAAGTAGTTCTCTCCTGCAACAATTATCCTTAAATACCTGAAAAATCAAAAATAACTTTATTTTAGAAACTGAAAACCACTCAAGGATATGCAAGTTCAAATAAAGTAGAAGCCATGCAATTCAGCTACAGCAGTGTCATTCAGTTCTAGCTTTATGTGCCAGAAATAAAATCCTGCTATTCAATTCTTCTAGAATGTGCACAACACTGAGGTTCCTCCACTGTGAAGCAGCACAATGAAAAAGAGTATTTGGACAGATACTCTACTACCCTTTTAGCTGTACTATAAACACAATAAAGGGAAAGGTAAAGAAAGGACCAAATTTGCTTTTTCTTGCCAATATTAGGCCTGCACAAGCCAGAACTCTCTCCACTGTTTGGGGAGCTGCTGTATTAGGCACAACGCCACAGAACAAAAGAGACTCAAAGCACAGTAGTTTGGAGAGGAAGCATTTAATGGATGGTGGTCCCAAAATTACCAGACTGGATGGCTGGAATACCTACCTGCATTTCAGTGGTAAAATTACAGATATTTTCTAAAGTTTTGGAGGGAAGGAGGTTTTGGAGGGAAGGAGGTTTTTTATTTCACAGATAAGCAGGCTCTAACTATCTCTCCATTTTAATGTTTATAAGCACTTTCAGTGGTTTTGTCCACAATAAAACTGGAAGAAGTTACAAATAGAGAGGTTGGGGCTTGAGTTTTACCCTACAAGAGACAACACAACTTAACTCTCAAGGAGCCAAACTGCAACAGGCAGGAACCAGAGAGATACAAGAATTGAAAACCATTACTGCTATTTTGAAATCCAAAACCAGAGATAACCTTCTAATTGTTTTTCAACTGCTTTAATAGCCATTAAGAAAAACCTCAAGAGCCAAGCCCAACCTATGACTGCTTTTCTGATAAACAGACTCCTGTGATAATGTGCACACTGCAGCACTCCTGTAATTATGGAATGGTTCTGCATGCTAACACTTAACCAAGAATTATAATCCACCTGCCCACAGTGACTATGAACCTATCCCCAGTATCAGTGAAGAAGGGAACACTGCAATCACTCTCATCTGATCCCATCTGACACAGGTCACTGATTTCTATTTACTTTTCAGAAGCGTGTGGGAAGTTTAATGAATCAACAAGTCTCATTTAAATAATCAATTGGCTATGCTGCAGTATCTCTTGCAAAGTAATTCACAGGGTCAGTATGCAGAGTTTTGCTGACTGAAGATAAGGTGAGAAGACAACCTTTAAAGTTTTTCAAAGACTATCTAAAAGCATTTCTGTGATTTAGGACTTGAGCATTCTGTGGAAAGAGAGGTGTCCAGTTTCATGGAAAACACTGATTTGCACAGTCAGTCTAACAGGTATTTAGTATACACTGGCCTTCTTGTCCTGTTTTAAAGATACTTGAAGTTTCATAACAAATGTACATATTTATGTATATTGAGAGCCAGAAAGTCAGAGTTAAAAGAACAAATAAATTAGGCATCACGAGTCTGAGCTCCTGGAGAGTCCATCCGTGTCAAAACTAAATTACACTGAGCACTGTTCAGTGCACTGTTCTGGATTAAAATGAGATATTAACATACCCATCAACATTTTCTTCAAAATGGTTACAGACAAGTATTCATTTAGGCAAGAAAGAGTACTAGCACAATAATTTACTGAACACTTTAGCAATAATGTTCAACCACATAAACCATGTACTAAGCCAAGAAATTTTTCTACCTTCAATGTTTCAAAGGCAGCAAAAAGTTTTGATGTGAAAAACCGTGTAGAGGGTATCACTGAAATAACTTACATCTATAAAATAGAATCTGATCCATTACCATTACTGTAACTCCCCACTGTCCTAATTCCAGTGGGATTCACTGAACACCACACTATAAAAAGAGAGGAGTGAAACAGCAGCCACAGGTCTAGAGCCAAATCAGTGTTCACCTAGACCTGTCTCATCCCTGCATCTACAGGAGAAGGAATATTTCTTATCATCCTCTTGATTGATGGGAGGACAAGTGCAATGTGTTGCTGCAGCTCCCAGCTATGAATACAAGATGTGACACCTGTCTGGACTTTTTGGGATGAAGCTGATGTGTTTTCTACCATGAGGTTGACAGGAAAAATGAGACACCTACCTCCATAAAATGCATGCCTTAGGTTTTATGACAAACCTACCTTTCTAGGCAGCTTATTAGGTTTATGAAATAATTACCACATAACAGTAACACAACTTGTGGATGCCACACAGTTCAATACTCTTGAATAAAAAATTATTTTAACAATACCTTATCTTTTACTATGCTTTCTTGACACGCTGTACATTTTGGACTAGAAGATCTGAAGAGAAAAGAAAAACACTATTTTAGCTCATCTGAATTTTTCTAGTACAAAAATTTCCGTTTATGAGGCACTTCATTTTGATTATTCAACATATTCTAAAACCATTAAAAGTGGATATAGTTCTTTATAAGGAGAAAATACAACATTATTTCAATAAACTCGAACATTTGAGTTTTCAGTGGAAAGTATCTGGCATTCCCAAAGAAGTAAAATCACCACAATGTCTCCAGACAACTGCAAAGTGGTTTTCAAGTTGGCAAAATTAATTCCTTTTTTTCAGTCTGTACCTGATCCTAAATTGTTGTCATTTCTCAATCTGTGAAAAAAGGCCTATTGTCTCTTTAATTATTGTTTTTCAAACAATACCTAATGAAAATTTACTTTTTCTGACAGTCAGTTATGCATCCTTTTAGGGTAAAAAAGTATTTATGTCCATGTCCTTCAAGTCTGTTCTGGTTTTAGCAACTGTTACAGATGCTTGCTGCCTCCTCTATCTGAAATACTGCCTTGTAGCTGTCTTAGTAAACTAATTATTAAACTTGTGACCTTTTGGACAACAGGAAGAATCAGGAGCAGGGCAGGCTGTGACGAGAAACTGGAGTGCAGAAAACCTGAGTTTCTACAGCTGTTTCTGGCTCTGACCTGCCAAGTGTTGCAGTGTAAACCCCTTAGGATCATAGAATGGATTGGGTTGAAAGAGAGCAAAGCTCATCTGGCTCCACTCCCCTGCCATGGAGAGGAACACCTTCCACCAGAGCCGGCTGCTTCCTTCGAGGTGGAGTCGCCATCCTTGGATGTGTTTAAGAAAAGACCGGATGTGTCACTCAGTGCCATGGTTTAGCTGAAGTGTTAGGGCTGGGCTGGACTCAATGATCTTGAAGGCCTCTTCCAGCCTAGTGATTCTGTTCCTTTTTAGCTCCTTTTCCCCACATTAAATGGGAACAGTCAAAATTATCTCCCTTGTAAAGCACCAAGACGAAAAGCACCAGGTAAAAGCTGCGTGAATTCTTCCATGAAGCAACTCACTGACAGGCTGTGGCTGCTAGCAGCAGTGCAAATCAATGTAAAAGGCTGAAAAAGTTCAATTATGTTATATATTCTGTATGGTTATTTCAAATCATCTCACTGGTTTCTGCTCTTCAAACCAACCATTTTGTGTCTCATCATATTTCTGGGCATCTGAAGTACCTTGAAGCTTCAATACCTGCAATGCCTTTCATAAGTCAGGGAAAAAAAAAGTAATCTAAACTACATCAGGGCATATAGTGTTTAATACAATGTCATGCTTTCCTTGCTCTTACTGAATTCACTCAAGCATCCTACTTGCTTTTTCAAACTACTCTTGCATACTGAGCAGACATCTTTACTGCTTTATTTCCACTAACTCCCAATTCCTTGTCCTCAAACAACCCTGGAACAGAAGTTGCTAGCATACAATTACTGTGTTTGTGTATGCAGCAGTGTATCAACACTGAATGAAAAAATGTTGTGCCAAATACAGGACCAACATAAACCCATTTTACTCTCAATGTTATGGCATACTTTTTATTAAAGAAAAATAAAGGGGGGATGTAAATTTTATTTTAATGAAGGATTTGTTTATAACAAGCACTTAAAGTGAAATAACTCAATGGCCTTAAAGGCACGTGTCCTTTTCAGTAACAGACTGGTTGGAAAGTCAGGAAGATAAAATTACACATATTCTAGCTACACTGTAATAAGCACATGTGCATGTCTCACAGCAGGGAAGGAAAATTGCCCAGACTCTAGCAATGCCAGAATTGTTACTGCTTAGATTGTCAAGGATCTGCTCTGCCAACCTGCTCACGTCCAAGCATGGCAGGTGTTTGGTTTTTTGCAGTCACTGTTATTAACCTTGTAAGAGTATTCCAAAAACACATACTGAATAAGAAATAACTGCATTTCTTAAATACAACATCTCACTTCACACTGTATATCAAAAGAAAAGTTGGTGAGGATTTTGTTGTTGTTTTACATTTGAAATGCTGTAGGCACAAAACCTGCAGGAGTGCATTAGTGAGCTATGCACCCTCGTGTTTGCCCAGTACAGAGATTACTCTTTATCAGGAGACTGAGTATTGTAATAACTTTCATACTCTTTTGCCATGCTGCATGTAGCCTTAACTTAGATATCTAAATATTAGATATCAGATTACAGTATTTCCAAGTGACATATAAACCAGCATCTAGAGTCAGAATGGTCACAAAAAGGGAACAGATCACCAAGGCTTCCAAAGCTCTCTCTGATAGTATGCCAGTAGGCAACATTCATCAAGCCAGGTATCTTCTGTATTTCTGCTTTTCTAGTAGTAAATGAACACATTTGGTGCTTATGTACCTCAGGAGACTGAAGTGTGCTGAATGGTCTACAAACATTACACAAAGTTTTGAAATCACATTACTGAATACAACCAGCAGTAATGCACCAAAGTTGAGAGGCAAAGAAATCTACTGTTGCACAGGCACTGAAAACCTAGATACTCCCTGAATGACTGCACTTTTATTCTTATCTACACTGGGAAAGATTGCACCTCTCAGCATTCATTTTACATCTCTATCATTCACTCACCTCTTTGCAGTCTGGCCCAAACACCTCACTAATAGATGCCAGCCTTTCTGACCCTCCTGCAATCCACAGGACATGCAAGTCCCATAAAAAACAGCTGCAAGGGCTACAGGGAAACTGCTCCACAAGCAGGTACATTTATCCAAGGGTCCCATCACCCATTCTGAGGCTGGGTCCACAGCCAGGTTAGGTAGCCCACCCCAAGGAATGTGTGCAAGCTCACTTCCTCACACAGACAATTTACTGTGTGTATTTGACACCAGATTACCCAAGTTAGAAGTCCTGTGAAACAGTTACTCCACTTGGGCTCCACAGGGAATTAAATTCTTACCTAACACATTTCTACACAGGATTACACCACCTTAACAACTACTCCAACAATACCAATGGAAAACCCAGTTATCTTATCCTGACCCAGAGTAGAGCAAAAATGTTTGCACCAGCACACAGATAACAAATACTCAAGCAAGAAACAGTGCAAGGCTCAACATACTCCTAAAGCTACAATGGTGTTCAGAGTAATGTCAGTAGTTCACAACATCTAAAGGTATCAACATGCTCTACCAGAACAAAGAACGTACCTCAGCAAGGCATTCATGCAGGTTTCACAGAACCTGTGTCCACACTCAGTCTGTTTAGGATTGCATAAGATGAGGTGACATTTTTCACATTTGTACTTATCTTCCACGGCATTCACAAATTTCTCCTTGTAGCCACCTTGCTCTGGAACATAGATGGATGCTGATGGACTGCGGTCAGGATTGGCCCTCTGCTGCACCATTTCTACAGATAAAGGGGGTTCTGACTTCTTACTGGGGTCCATGCTTTAAGATAGTTTCTGTAAATCAAAAGTGACAAAAACTGAGAAATGAGGACCTCTTTCACCATTTAAATAAAACAAACAGAGCATCTGAGAGATTGCATGAAATCAGAAAGCAACCAGAACAGATCTGTGTCTACACATCACATGAACATACATTATACACACATTACTGCCTGAGTATATTTAGCATAGCAAATCTGTAAAACAGTCTATGTAGTCAAAGGCTCTAGAAAGCAAAGAATTAAAACCTGCTCCTGAAAATGAAGTGTTAATTATGGCCATCACTCTGGGAATACATAAGGGATTCTTTCATATCTTCCTCTCTCTCGCTCTGAAAAGTATTGCTTAATGTTGAAGTCCAACCATTAGGGGCAGCAAGAGGTGTGGTGAGGAAGGTGTTCTGGTACAGTACTTACTGCACGTGATCCTGCTCAAATGCTACTGCAAAGGCACACAACCACCAGTGTCCTACACAGGGTACCAGAGCCTGCCCAGCTCCCCTGCCCACTTTTCCTGTCTATCCCTTTGCAATAGGATAGTGTCAGACATGCTGCTTTAAGTCTGCTTCACAACACCACAAAAGGGCTTTACATATTAGATCCTCTCCAATCTTTTCATGGCACATCCTGACCTGAAGAGAGCAGCTGAGCAAAGTCTAACTGACAGCAGAGAAGGGCCTATGTAACATGGCCATTTGATTAATTTGCCAGGGCTAAGCACAACTGACAGGTAGCTGAGAAAATAATGAATCCAGCTCAAGAGTAAATTACAGTACCTATTATCTTGGACAATTCATCTTCTAGGTCAGCATGCAAAGCATCATCAGAGCAACAGAGGAATGATATCCCTATATATTTTAAGTTTTAAAATGTGTTTTCAATAATTTCCTAGCTTATCTCGCAGTCAAGCAAGTGTAAGTGCTCTTAGAAAGGCTCAGCATATCCAGGAGAAAGCACAGTTTAAGGAAGCAGAATGAAGAAATGAGGCTCAGTTCACTTCTCAAAGTATGTCCACAAATGCCACAAAGGGAGTCAAATGCCTCACATTCCAAATACACAAACCCTCTTGTACACAGTTTTTGTGGTATCTTACCTTCCCTCGCTAAGCCCAAAACCACACATTTGTAATGAAACGTATTTACTTGTAGGTAATTTCTGCATCTGGAATTTTGGTACAGAAAAGAAGTACAGAAGTGTTCTCCATGCAAACTAAATGGGTACAGAATTTTCTTTGATTTCTGATGCCATTATTTACAGAAACAAAAGACAAAATCATTGTGACTCAATGCTGAGACCATTTCACGTTTTTACAACACCAGCTGAGCAAGGAGAGAGGTGTTGAGTGACGAATTCTCTCAGCACCTCTACCCTTGCTCAGCTGGTGTTGTAAAAATGTGAAATGCCCCTTTCACTGCCCCCTTGCCCAGGGGAAATCCTCTATAATCTCCATTAAACTCAGAGACAGCCCAAGGAACCCATTCTCATAACTTGGCACACAGACCCAGTGATTGTGTCTTATTCTAAACCAACAAAACAATACAAACACACAACAAATAAAAAAAAAAGAAGAAATAAAAAAAGAAAGAAAAAACCCAACAGGTTCTACGAACTGAAAAGCTACTATAAATTCTGATCCATAATTTGAATTAATGTTAGTCTATTCCTTGTCTGCTCTTCAAAGACTGCAGAGACCTGTGTCTTGACAGAACAGTATGTGAAAGAACCAAAAAGTCGGTGCTGAACTGAAAGTGAGTCACACTTCTCATTAATGAGGAAATTCAGATTATTTCAGACCTTAGCTAGAGTTTCACCAGCAAGCATAAAAACCCAGCAGGTAATAATGACACTGAAGAGGCAACTCAAGATTGTAACCAGCACAAAAGAAATGAGATTGATGTTGAGAACATGATTCAGACAAGGAGGTTCGCAGAAGTGCCATGAATGAGAAAGGACAGCAGCTCACAAAGGTAGTCTAGATTCAAAGACTGCCCAAGGCATGAGTGCTGCTGCTGTACATCAGTGGCTGGACATGGGGAAATGCAGAGCTTAGGACCTGACACTTTTCTGTGGTTGTAAGAGAAAAGATTAGCAAGAAATGGAAAATAGTGCAACTCCTTAAGTGTTCAGACTGCTGAAACTTAGCTACCTAGGGACTTGCTTCCTATGTGTGATTGGAAAAGCTTCATTTGGCACTTGCAGTGTAGGAATCTGTAAATGTTTCAGTTCCTTGATTTATAGACACTAATACCTCTTTCCCCTCTGCAGCTGTGTATTTTTTAAAATCATATTCAAGACCTCCACTATTCTGGCAATTCTTGAAGTCAAAGGCCAACTTCAAGCATGTTGATTTGTAGAACAACACAGGGAACATTACTTTCCTTAAAATGACAGAAGAAACAAGGCATGACCTGCTTCTAACCCACAAAAGAAATACAGAAAAAGAGGCACTAAAAGAGATGCTGAAAGGAGAATTGTCAAGAGAGCACAAAGTTCCCAAACTTCCAAGTCACAGTCCACAACTACTGAATGTCTGCTTCCCCCTTAAGTTTCTTCTGAACAAAAAGAAGCTAAAGATGATTGGAGATGTGAAGTCTTCCAAAAGCATGATTTCTTCAAGGAAATGGAATAATTAGTCACAAGGAGGCAGGCAGGGATGACAGGGGAATATTCAAGACTTAACACAGACAGCACTGAATGCCAAATGAGCAGCAGGTGAGAGTTTCACTGAGATCCAAAACTGCTCCAGGCTGGACTGTCAGCTGTCAAGAGAGATTTCACACCAGAATAAAGTGCACAGGGTGCCACAGGACTCCACTTTTGGAACTGACATCTTGGATATCTTGTCACAGAAAAGAAGCAGAAAGCACACTGACAAATAAAACATACTATGGGACATGCTTAACAGATTTGTCTGCCTTGGGTTTTGTATTTATTTTATGAAGAGGTATGTCAGACCAGAAAAGCTAAACAAGCTCAGCAATAGAGTAGCCAGGCTAGTGAGGAATTCTCTTCCACAATAATCTGAATGCCAGCATTTTCTTGTGCAGCAAAACTGGGAAGCCATTCATGAAGTACTATCATAAAATAAAACAGAGCATTGAGCCTGCAAGACCACCACAACCTTATTACAATGAACAAACTGTATTTAACAAGGGGATGGGGAGAAGTGAGGTCTGTCTATCTGTATGCACAGAGCTTTGCCTTCATGCATATTAGTTACATGCTCCTACACCTGCATGTGGGAACAGTGAACACAAGCACAGAAAACACAAACATTTCAGCTGCCACCCTTTTGGAAACAGCATTCTGTTTTGTCTTCCATGCCACTACAGGGTGTCAGCTGCAATGGCTTCTCTTCCTTTGCAGGAACCTTTAACAGCAGCACTTGGATTATTCCCCCACAATCATGTTTCAAGCTGCCAACAAGAAGCAATCTGAAGTCACACCTCAGTAGGTACTCTGCACTTATGGCAGTGAAGTTAACATCCTTCCAGAGAGCAGGGAGAGGAGCCTAGCCAGGACATCCAAGATGGGCCAGATCTGGTGAGGGCCTCTGATTCTTAAAGGCATGGCAAGGTGCCATCCAGCCGAAGACTCTGGTTCTTGTTCAGCAAGCTATTCTTAATGCCCAATTAATCATCAGCTAGTTCTTACACTCCAGTTTCTTATCTGTGGCTAAAAATCATCACAATAAAAGTATATGACTTTTAGATGTCTTTTAAAGCTGTTAAACCTTGGACAAACACTTTTCAGGACAGATAAGCACATAAAAAAAGAGGCCCAGGCACCAAGGTTGGTTCTGTCCACTGCTGCTTTCAGCCACCTCTCCTGCAGCCAGCATATGCCAATATTCACACTTGAATGGACATGGTTGTGGCCATCAGATGGGTGACACTGGACACTGCTTGCTCCAGTCTGGTCACTACTCTTGTTCAATACAAGAGGAATTCAAGAAGCTGAGGCTGAGCCCCAGCTGATACTTCAAGCTGTAAATACTGCAGTGAAGGTCAGAACAATTTGTTGGTGCTTAACTAACACTAATATCAGTACAGAAACCTAGAAACTGGAAGCAAAAGTGAGTTTACCCACGAAGTTGTTCCGAGAATTAGGAAGCACAGGAATTTCCAAACAAAAGGCATTTTGCTCTTTCCTTATTCAAGCATGAGTGTTGTTCTCATTGCACGAAGAGCAAAAATCTGCACTTGTGCTCTGTATTAGCAGATACCTTTATGATTTGTTCTTAGGGAATAAAGCCAGTTTGTGACACTGAAATACAATAAAGCTTCTATAAAAATTCAAAATAAATTTGCATCCTAACGAAAACAGAAAAAAGATTACTTCTTATAAAAATCTAAAACACTCCTAAAAATTTGATTGTACTAGGTACCATGGGATTTGGAATCTAGAAGACTCTGCATGAAGACAGTTTCAGTATATTGACAATATGAAGCAAATAAGCTTTTGCCACAGCTTCAGAATTCAAAAAGAGCAAAAAGCTATTAGAAATAAATGTTTTCATTACAGTACCTTGGAAGAGAATAATGCATGACACTGTTTAATTTGGTTATTACTACAGGACAGCAAAGCTTTTAATCAAATTACAAATTGCACTGAGAACAGGAGTTCCTCAAACAGAACAGCACTGCATGCACAATATCTAAATTAAGCTCAGAAAGAGAAACCTAAACTGGGACAAGGAGCTTAAGATCAGAGAAGAAAAGTAACCTTTCCTCTTCAAAAAATTTTTGTATCTAAAACGTGTGAAAGCACACAAACTTCAGCATCTCATCCTAACTAGGTCATTTTTTTGGGTAGCCTGGGGTATAATTTTTCAGTCTAGCTTTTAATGAGATAAGGGATTGTGATTGTGCTGTCTCTCCTCTGAGCCTCCTAAAACCACATTGGAACCAAGTGGACAGTGTTGCCATGAAAATGAACAGCTATGAGGGGAACAGAAAGAGAAACTTAACGCAGTGTCCCAGTGAGGAAGAGGCCATAGAAGTGCACCCCCATGGT